TGTTTAAAACAATTTATATTTATGTCTAGATGCTAAGAGGAAAAAAATACGATCGCTTATTTGAAATTTAAACGTCGATATCAAATAATATGCCCCCCTAAGGATAGCTGCCGCGTAACGTGGGTAGATCACCTTTTCGTGGTACGTTACGGGATGTAAGATCTACCACCGATTCCTAGTCTTGACTACTTCAAACTAGGGGAACAGGATTTTACAGTAATCAAAGGAACACATCTTAGTCCTTGTTACTTTTTATGCCTTGTTGATAGTGATAAGTCCTCGGGTTGCGTGGACCGAGGATGATCTTGAAACAAGGAAAAAATGAGTTAGTTAGTCTTCACCTATGTGATTCCTAATCTTCTATTCGTTGTTTCCTAGTTTGAAGTGGTTAAGACTAGGGTTCTGATGCATGGTCATTGTCGGTGTCATGTCTTGTTTTTTTTTGCTAAGGAATCCAATTTTGACTGACAAAGGGGCGCGCCTTTGGAGGGTGTTTCAACACTCCGAAGGGTATAAATAGCGGGACATTTCAATTAGAATCGATTCCTTGCGATAAAGGCAAGAATGACAACTGTATCAAAACCGAATACTTCATCATTTCTCAATAGTGATGGAGTAATACGACATGCACTAAACTAAGGACACGGGATATACTACAATAGATCAAATTACTGGTCGCAGTGGTTTTATGTCCCGAACAGAGGAAAAAAAAAGGATAGCTGCACTGGGCTACCCCGATACTGAATCCGGCACTGCTTCTAACTAGAATTTCCTTAGAAATGTTCTCTGACATATATTGGTATTGTCTCTAGAGCTCCCACCAAACTAACATCAAAATTCCTTTGGAATTTTCATAAATTTATTCTTAATAATTCTCCAAAGTGACGATCAAATTCCAAGATCTAAGCTCATTAAAAATTATCAAAGTTCCATGATCTTCTTTTGTTTTGTATTATAGTCACTTGGACATATTTTAGGTCATTCGTGACTCCAGTGATGAGACTTGAATTCTAAAAGACATACATATGCAGTTGGAATCACACTAGCATGAATTGGGCATGTTTGGGACTAACATCACCCACCTAAAACGTCAATGCTCAGTGGGCCAGGAATTAAATCTAGCGGAAATAAAAAAAAATAACGCTCTGGTATTGCATCCAAATGAGTTGAAGTTATAAGTCAAGTTTCTTCGATTAAATAGGTTTATAATTTGGAGGTAAAATTAGGATGATAGAAGTAGGCCACGCTGCAAAAATGATGTGTTTTTGTTTTGGTGCGTCGTTTTCGTTCTAGTGAAAATGTTATAGGGGAAATGACGGCTTCGGCATGACAGATTATTTTCGGCAACCCTAATTGAAACACTATTTTCACTGGATTTTCTTACGAAAACACTTCGCTGAATGCATGCAAACGATGCTTTCACCTTCAATTTGACTATATTTTTACCACTGAGAAAAAGCAATCTAGCAAGGTTTTCTTGAAATGCAACACACGCACTTCAAATTGTAGCTGATTTCGAGTTGCCGATAATAGAACAACAGATTTACATTCAGTTCAAATGGAACGGTTGCCGAAGAAAAACTGGTTGCCGACAATACTCGCTCTCACTAGAGAAGATTGGAGCTTTGTAAATGCGTTTCAAAACAGTTTTTGACGATTCTTTCGACTGAAATTGTTAGAGCAGCTGGCAGCAAAAGATTGTAAACAAACCAATACTGCATATGTGTGCGTTCCTTAGAGAAAAAGGCTATAGAAAGAAGGTCGCTGCTTAGGTTGCCGAGAATACGTAAATTCCACTTGATATACAATTTCATTTTAAAAAGTGTTAATTTGGAAATACAGTACAGTGATGTTGAAAAGTGCATTAAGTGAAAATTTTCAAATTCCTATCCGTCGCATGCTCAATTAAGTTTATTTATCTTTTCGTTCCTCTGTCCACGATAGGAAATATCCATCTAATTAAAAACGATTATTTGAAAACTTACTAAATACGTGTCAATCAAGTATTGCACTACTGCTTGATAGAAAGTTTCAGCACATTTTCAATGGTGTATATTTGCATCGATAATGTATTGGAGCGGAGCTTATCATGTGTGAAAATAGCTTCGGAATGCTTGTGTTCTTGAAATGGGCTATTGTAGCTGCGGTAGAGCTGTCACCTTCTAACTTCCGGGTTCAACCCTAGTAGCACACATGTTATAAAATGATTATGGAAAATTCAATGCGACTTATTTCAGTCACAATCAAGTTGCTGTAACCTCTAGAAACGAAAGTGTGCTACTTGAGAAGCTTCTTAACATTCATAAGAAATGATTGCAGGCAGATTTCATCCATAATACCACTGCCAAACAATGGGAGTTTGGTTAAGGGCGAATCTTCTTTCTAATCTACGATTCCATATACTATTAATAACCTTTTACACATCGGAATAAATTGTGCTTATGTTTAGGATCAACAAACACTTTCAGGCGCAAAGGAGCAACAGGATCGAGCTGATAAAGTTTCTTAATTTCAAAAAGTTGAAGACTGTTTTGAATAATATGTTTAGGTAATGGGCAGCAACAACGGACAGATAAACTACTTACAGTTTATATTTATTTAATGCTTGATATAACGATTGCCAGCAACGCCGGCTGGGCGTATTCTATGGCTTACCCTCCCTACTAACAAAAATCCACCCTTCCCGTGACGCTTATGAGGGGTCGTAGAGTTCTCTGCATCTCTCTTAAGTAAGTGCCGGAATAACATTCCTCCCCTTTCCCACCAGATGCAAGGATGTGGTCAGGACAGCTCTGGTCTGTTGAAGGGAGACACATTCGTTATCTAAGAGGTAGTAATTAATCACAAATTACTATCTAACAGCAACGAATGAAGGTGGGTCTCCTTCTTAACAACAGTTTGAAGCTCGTACCACCTACGACATTGTACAACCTGGTTTATGCTATGCTATAATTTGGAGGTAAAAATAGTTCATGTTTTTGCCGCAAAGATGGCGCAGTGATTCATTCTTTTATATTTTGTAAGATATAGCTTTGCTGTCTTGCGGTAAGTTGTAGAACGTCATTTTTTTTTAAATATTGCCCAAGACATTAAAGCTGTACATCTTCAAACAATTGATATATGGGTCATTCCAGCTCAAGTGGGTACAGAATTTTAAAAAGTTGCGGTCGATGTTACCGATTTGAGCCAAACTTGGCCAAAACGCCTGTTTTGGAATTCTGAACAAACGCCTTTTATTATGTTACTCTAAAGTGCCTAGATCCTTCTGGGCTACAGCCCTGAATTTTTGATATATTTAAAAATTTCAACTTTCGGAAGATATTACTCCATAACCAAATAAGCTATTCGTCAATTTAAAGGGTATTTACTGTAAATTCTTATAGGTTTACCCACATTTTGTTTGTGTTATAGTTACTACAGTTAACAGACTGATTATCGGCAGGTATCAAAAGTGTCAAAAATGGCCTATTTTCACCATTGGCGGGATTTTTTTATTTCTTAATATTTTGGGCTCAAATTTTCACCACACTTTGGAAAATTCTTCTACTAGATGTGTTTCCAGATGAGTGAATGGCAGTTAGTTTTTTTCTGGAGGAAAATCAGCACCGTTATTTCTGTATTTTCTATCTATCTATCAATTCTATCTATTTTCTTCATTTGTACTATAGTGCTCTATTTTTTTTTTTCCTTTGGTTTGTTTTTTCCGTCGATCTTGTTTTTCGTGCTGAGCACCAATGCTACCGACGTGCCAGGAAGGCAGCTCCCACACCTGGACCCTACCTATCGACCCATCAACTCATGAACCGGGGACCAACGGCTTTACTTCCCATCCGAAGGAAGGCGTGATCAGAGATGTTATGCCTCAGAACATCCCGGCGGCGCCGACTGGGATTGAACCCAGGCCTTCTGGGGTGAGAGGTAATCACGCTTACCACTACACCACCGGCGCCGTTAGTGCTCTAAATTTATCATCTACAATTAATCTGTTTGATTGGTTAGGCGACAACCGAGAAATAGATATTGGGAAATGGTACCACCCCCGTGCTATTCGAAGGATGATACTCATTTTACATACTTGTGATTCGGTTTTACATAAATATCTGTTTGCTACCAGCCAAGTGAAAAGAAATAATTTTTGTAGTGCTACCAACGTTGAAACGTGACGTTCTATAATCACGAATATATTATTTGTTTGTGGAGGAATATCAGCTCAAACATGAAATTTTTAAAAATCTCGAAAATTCAGGGTTGTAGACGAGAGGGATCTAGACACTTTAGAGCAAAATCAAAAAAGGCGTTTGTTCAGAATGCCCAAATAAGCGTTTTGGCCAAGTTTGGCTCAAATCGGTGACACCGACCACATGTGGTGACCCGGAATGACCTATATACGAGGTTATAGGATACATTTATCATTTTTCCTCGATTGGTACTGATCAATTGAATCTTTTCAATCAATTCAAGATTAATTATATTATTTTTAGAGTACTGAAAAATATAAATCACATGAATGTGGGTCAAGTTTGAATAGTTTTTTCTATCTGTATTGAGGTTCTCAACAACTGTGCTAAATTTGAATGAATTTGGTTATGATCTGCATTTTTTGGAGATCTTTAATGTGTATAGAATCATCTATGGATCTAAACTATTCATATGGTTGTTAAAAAAATCAAAAAAGGAAAGTAAAAGTGTAATTTAATTTGAATTTGTAACAAATAAAAATTTAAAAAAATCCATCGAATAAAAAGCAACACTTTGTTAATTGCTGCCTCTAGTAAGTTACCCTTCAGAAAGCTTACATTCGATTCATTCGTCATCATGCTGCCGACCCAGATTTGAAGTATCCCATGTTTGACTTATGCACTACTAGGCCTTTTTTCTGAATTCATTGAGGCTTAAACAACCGTTACGTTTATATTGTGCCTTTTAGACGCAGAACCATGTACGTTTCCATAGTGCCAGGAAATAAAAAACGGTTAGGTACCAATCGCAAATCCACTTACCATGTTTATCCTTGTCGGGTGCCGGCAGCTGTAATCCGAGCGTGAAATGCGCAATAAATACGTTAATAAATATAATATGAAACACTTGATTAAATTTGAATGCGATGTTGTGTTTCATTTTTCCAAACATCGCCGCCGCCGCTGTGCGCTCACTCACACCGCTCCTGTTTAGGGACCCGGCGTGTGGTTACAACTCGATAACTGCGACTTCCTTTTCGATCACCCGGGAGCTTTTCCCACATTCACTGCTTCTATTCTTCACTGTGATTTCTTTTTCTTCTTTGATTGGGTATTGGCAAAATTTGCCACACTTGTGCACTTTTTTTTTTCGTAGCCTCTTCTTCCTATTGTTGTGCCACTACACTAGCAGGAGGAGGAGGAGAAGGAGGATCTTTTCCCAGAGCTAACCGCCGACTCGTTCCCAACTTGAGTCGTCTCCAGTCGGTCGGATTGTGCCGTTATTATTATTAGTATTATTATTATGGCTGGCTGTTGCTTGCTTGGTTCTTTTCTTCCCCAGTCAAGCTAAGCTGCCGTCGTTTGGTGGAAGCTGGTTTGGGAAGTGATTGAACGCATCGATTCTGAGACCACGTGTGGGACCAAGGGACCGACAAAGAATGATTCGATCCTCTCTACACTCTTGTATTCTGCGCCGTTGTCGATGTCGTCGCTTTTCCCGGGGACAGGCGGGGGTGTGGGGGTGTAGATACTAGCTTTTCTCGCTGGTAAATCTGTGTGCTTCAGGTACGATGAGAGACGGAGGAAAATGAGTGTGTTTGAAGGTTCTTTGATAAATGTTATGGAGTTCAATTACGTTGATTATGTTTTATTTTTATTTTTATTGTTTTGTGAATATTGATAAAAAGTGGTTTCGGGAGGGGATTTTCCGTTTCACTTGGCGCAGACAGATAAATTCTCGTTGTCACACACATGTTTGCGCATTGCTTTCAGGTGGTGGTGATTTATGGACTGCCACTCCGCCGGAGAGGGCATCCATGGAAGCGGATTTCTGAAATGGAAGAAAAAGGGGAAAAAAGCACCATTAGAGACTGGTTCCGCTATTATGCTATTATTTGTTGAAATTGAGTGGATATAAATTTGGCATACGATAGATCGAAATAAAGCGACGATTATGCAGGTTCGATTTTTAGACTGAAATGTTTCATGTATTTTCACCGTAAAAAAATCTTTTTAATCTGTATCTGGCTGACAAAAATCTGGTAAATAATCTGTATAATTTATTTATTGTGGTATTAGTGCGGATTTTCGTAAACCACCTTTTGAAATCCCAGAAAAAGTTTTTGTATAGTTTAGAATCTTGACAAATGATTTATGTTTGTTTCCTAAAGAATAAATCTATTCAAATAGCTTCAAATCCTTAATCTTAGAGAAAAAATTATTATTTGTATCTTTTCTACAAGTCTAAAAATTCAAAAAAATCTAGTCTCAGTAGTGAGAAACGAACCAAATGAAGTAACAATCACATTTCCTTCCATTTGATTTTTATAACCGAGATTACGAACATCGCTATCAAATCATTTGTATTTATTAATTCAACAATTTGGGGATATGTAAAATCAGGCATTAAAGTTTTATGATTTATATATTACTTATAAAATTTTAATGTTCGATGTTTAGTTTTGTCAAATTCTTCTATAGCTTTATGCATTTGGTAGATTGAAATGATATTGGTAGATTGAAAATGATATTGAAATTGAAATGATATTGTTGTTGCTCGAACCTAAATAGCAAATTTTACTCAGTATTTCTTGTTATTAAATGCCTTTCAAACACTTTGGGATAGTTCCATGTATATTTCTCTGTTTATAATCGTGTTCATATGTTTTAATTTTTTTTTGTATTTTGTTACAACACAAAACTTTAAGTTGGATGTTTACTCGAATTGCATACAATATTCTTTTTTTTTCTTATGTTCAAATGTCAAAATAATCAGTTCACTCTTCGAGTCACAAACTGTAATCTGGCTTGCTTGCTGATTTGATAAATCCAAAAATTGAATTAACTATATAGCACCTGTTACTACTTGAATGAAAATCTAACATCCCTTCAACCATAATTAGTAATCAGAACAGCTGAACATCAGAATTCCGTTCAAATAATTTAATTTAGAACGAAATTCTGATATCAGATTTAGTGAAAAATGCGATTGTGTTTGTTAGCTGCTCAAAAGTAAGATACAATTATTTATCAGAAAGCATGAATACAACCAAGACTTAAAAATATATTCCGCTTATTTGAAAAAAATCCTTACATCTTATTCGGAGGATTTCAATAATTATTTCGTTTTTGTATTGATTCGACTGGTACTGAATAATCGTAATTACATCAACTATTCATCGATAATCTTGAATATGTTAGAATTATCGAGCATTGTGCTGATATAATTTATGAGGTGTATATCTTAACTGCCACTATTTTAAGCATCTGAATCTGAATCTGTGATTGTTTCATGTTTCTAGTTATTGAAATAATATCTTAAATTTTATTAAAATAAGTCCAAAATAATATGTACGCGGAGGGGCTTCCAGTATTGACGACCGAACCATTGACGCTGATTTTCACCGGATGCCTGAGCTACTGTGCAAATCTGTTGAGTAGGTGTTTGAAATGTTCGGTTATGTACTGGAGATTTCCGAAAATTTTGATTCGGGACTGGCTAAAGAAGATTGATTGCTCTTGGTTGGAAATTGTATCAAACAAATGGCATTAAGTAGAAATAATGTTTGCACAACGTTTTTCTATAGTCGCTATATTCATAGTCTGGCGGTAAGAATTTCGATCTATCAAAAAGCAGAACCAATTCAATATATTGTAGACCATCAATTGAAAAGGTACTATCAACTTTTTAAAACAAAACGTTGATTATTCTTTCCTCGCCAATCGAACGCAAATTACCGGCATCATCGGATAGGTGAAACTTTCCCCAACCCAAAGATGGTGTTAGTTTGCGTAGGCAAGCCTTGAGCCACGAGAAAAGGGTTTCCGAAGTTTTGTTCGCAATAGCTGATGTGCTCTTTTCCGTTGTTGGTCGTGATTTGTTCGATTGGTTCCGCTATTTGACAGATAAATTGGTTCCCAAGATTCTATCCGCCAGACTATGAATATAGAGACTATACGTTTTTCGAGAAGATTTTGCCATGTTCCTATTGTTTCTATAATCAAAAAGTGGCCATATATTGTTTTCCAATGTCATATAGAACATGTCCAGAGTGTGACGTTAACTCATTCTTACTTCAGAACTGCGGGAGAATTAAAGAGATAACTAATTCGCGTTCCTAGTCCAGTTCTCCAAGACATTGAGTATTTGCTACTGTCAACAGCGTCAGTTAGTTGTTCTTGTTACATGATAATAATTGAGATGTTACCCGATATGCGATATGTGAACAATAATAAACTATATTATTCATTTTTAGAGATCCAAGCTCGATTGGACATGAGCCGTGACTTTATACGTGTCATATCAAGGCTCATGTCCAATCACTACTCGTTAGACTCGCATTTCTTCCGAATCGGGCTCGCAGGCAGCAATTTGTGCGCTTGTGGTAGTGGCTATCACGATATCGACCACGTGCTTTGGTCATGCACCCTCCATTGTGTTGCTAGATCCGAGTTATCCGCATCCCTCAGGGCCCGAGGAAAACAACCCATGCGGCCCGTTAGAGACATCTTGGCGAGCCGAGATCTCGACTATTGCAATTTAATTTATGTGTTTTTAAAACGGATAGATCTGAGGATTTAGTAGTTAGTGTCATCTTGTGTTCCCCCAAGTTGTTAGCTGCCCATCGGTGTACCCCCATGTTTGTCTTTTTCATCAGTTGGTCGCTTAGTTCGAGATCAAGAGCACATTGCTCTCCAAACCTTTTGTTGTCAATCCCTACCCTGCCATTTATTTGTTACAATTTGTTACCCCTAACCTCGAGATAGCCGCGAGTAATCGGCCCCCGCTTTACTAACGTTAGTTTTAAGAAATTTTGTAACCTAAACAATGAATATTGGCTCCGCAAAGATACGGCAAATGAGTCTGGAAAAATAAACGCATTAAAAAAAATAGATCCAAGCTCGATTATATCGGATAAAATCGATAAAATGGATATACTATTTATAATAAAAATCAATGCATCACACTTCAGTGTATTTTTTGGAAATAATTATTAAATCTAGGACTTGGAAATTTCGTCCTCCTCGGAAAAATCTGTATATTTTGAAAAAAAATCTGTAATCTGTATATACAGATATCTGTATCAAAATGTTGAGAAAAATCTGTATGATTACAGATAAATCTGTATATGTGGCATCACTGGTTGAGTCTTCGCTTGCATACACAAAAAAATCAGCTCAATTGGTTATAGGGTAACTGAGTAGATTTGGTGACCATTTTAAAATGGCTCTAAGAAATTGAATTTTCACCGCACAGCATATCTATTCTTATAATAATATTATTGTCTCCCAGTGTTGCAAAAATATTTAAAAAAAAATCAAATCTCACTCACTCACAAAAATCATTTAGCAATCAACTGCGGTTGACATTGCAAGCTGTGATAGGTATCGCAGCACGAAATATCAAGTTGAAAAACTCACCAGCTGCAAATCTCACCAAACTGTGGTGAGATTGAGTTTCATGATTTTTGCTTTACACCCGAACGCAACCGAAACTGCCATCAGCGCTGCCATTTGTACAGATTTATCTGTATTATACAGATTTTTTAATCTTAATACAGACCCGATACAGAATACAGATTTATCACAGATTTTTAAATTACAATACAGATTTTTATAAAATGCTTGAGATAAAAAAATTCAAAACTTATAAAAACAAAATAACTTGCTCGATTTTATCAGCGTACCCCCTTCTCTCCAAAATTAATTGTTGTGCTAAAACCATTTAACGATTAACGATTAAACGATTTGAGATTGTATGGGGATTTACAGTATTAATTGAATATTTCCAATATAAGCATGTATGTTAAATACAAGAAAAGTGCCCGAGCACATTAAAATGGTACAAATACAAGTACTCGTAAACATTTTACTTGCATTGAATAGAAACTAAAATCTCCATACATTTTCAAACGGCTTCATATCACTCTTATTAATAAGTACGGAAGATATCACAAATGGCGCAATTATATCCCTTATGGTTAGTACGGTAGTCCGAATAGGTGGTTAAGCACTTTTTATGGTTATTTTGTATGCACTGTATTTGTAAAACAACAAAACATGATTAATTAAGAAAAAAATCGTCAATACAGAAAGTACAGATTTTTTAATAGACTGAATACAGATATTTTATAAAACCACCTGGCAGCTCTGACTGCCATTGACGTTGACGGCAGCGCCGAAACATCGTCTCTTCTAGCAAAGATTGACAGTTTCTTAAGAGAATTTTCAGTTGAAAACGAAGTCCGCCATGTTTCACGCACAGTCTGACGTTTGCTTATGGATTTTACCATTGGAGTAAAGAGCTCCAGAGTCGCCGTCAACGCCAATAACGGCTGGCAGCAGTCGGTTCGTGTCTGCCATCGTTGAAGTGAAAAAAGAGGTAGAAATTAGCAATGGACTATCTTGGATCGAATCACAAAATATCGATTATTTTGGTTCGATTAATCGATTTGTTGAATCGATCTCAAACACGACAAAAATCTAGTGGATCGATCCTTTTCATTCGATTTTTGTTTCGATCCACAAAAAAAAAAGTGCATTTGCATTTGCAATTTAATTTATTTTTTTTTTATATATCTTTATTAAGGACCTGTACTTGGAGTCTTCAGCTCACGCTCGGGTAGTTAAAATTGTGTCTAGGCAGATCTATAGTACCGACAGAGTATACGATGATTGCACACTTCTGTACCCCCACCAAAACCAACTGGAGGCCTGTGGGATATTCATGACGAAATGGTAAAGACAGTTATTAATCTACATCTACATTCACTTATTATGACATATTTCAGGTTCATCAGTTCTCTGCTATGTCAGAACTGAATCGCCATG